CGATTGTGTACAGTTTGATCAGCTTTGTGTATGAACTCTGTGCAGAATTCTGTGTTTGCCCAGCTGCAGGCCAGCCTCGTCGAGTGGGGCTTTTTTACGAAGTGATTAACGATTTTCACAATGATGTTAATGTTTATAACACAAATATACAACGAATTGCGGTAACACATAAGAAATATTGCAAATAAAGTGACTAAATCACCAGTCGACACCGTGAGTAGGAGTGCTGTGGAATCACAGCAACAGGCAACTACTGCATTTATTTAATACTTTGTCATCATAAAAATACCCCATCAATAGATCCTTGTGCAGAAGTTGGGCACAGCTGGTTGTTCTGGTGCATCTTCAGGAAGCACTGGGGCCTACAGTGGTGGTTGAAGAGCCTTTCTCAGATCCGCCGTTGAAGAACGATGAGAAGAAAGTCGGCACCGCCGAACAGATTGCTCACTTGCTGAAATACTCGGGATACGGTAGCTGAAGCAAATGGCTGATGCTTGCTTCTCACCGCTTGAATCTGCTTCTGGACGTATTCCTGGTAGACAGTCTGCTTCTTCTCAAACTCCTTCAGCTCTTGAATCTCGTTCTGGTCCAAATCGCGCGCGAATGTGTTGCCAACGTAGACCTTGTTGCCCTAAAATGGTCTTTATTAGTTCAATGGAGAAGGTGGGAATATGCGGTGCAGTGGCAAGAGGTCGCGTCCCCTCGCTCATGATTCGGGGATCAAATCCTGAATGGACTCGCTGACGTTAGCAAGCCTTCGATCCTCTAGAGCCAGCTAAGCGCCACTGGACTCTAACAATAAGTTAGGACTGGCGGGACATGAGCACTTGCCCACTGGCAACTACCGCGTGTCATTCCATGGGTGTATGCTGGTTCAAGTACTTCCACGACATTGAATGGAAGCAGAACGCGCGGCGCATCCCAAAAGGGATTTAGCAAAGTCCGATGCGTCTTGCTTCATTCATAATTTACCCCACATTCTGCGACTTACCCATTGGACCAATTCTTCTCGTGAATAACACAGCTGGCTTCACAGCTCCACGGATATAGCCTCTTCAGATACCCAAAATGTATCAAAAGGGTGCTAGGAAGCACAGAATATACAACGGTGGACACCCCGAGCAACCACGCACACCCCCGTTGCAGCACCTGCGTCTCGCTCCCGCCTATACTCTCTCGCTTTTGTCTGCCGTTTTCTCGCCTCAGTGCCTATTTTTCAGCGTACTTACCTCCTTGACTATCGGTCAACGGGATACTTGAACTCGGTCCTTTAAGCCGCCTCGTTTCGATGCTCTCGTCTGCGCTCTCTCGCCTTATCAGCGGCTCATGACCACTGTCTCACACATTCAAACTTTTGCCACACTGTAATTGGCTCACCCACCTCGGAGTCCCTCCCCCTACAAGGCTTAGTCCTAGGCTCTCACCTCCTTCCTTGGGATTTGGAGCCGAGCCAGGCGCCGTTCTCTAATCGTCTGTGCTCTCCGCCATTCGTGGCAGGACCATAGAAGAAGATCAAGTGGTCCATGAACCCTTGACTGTTCTGCCGCCGAGAAAAAAGGGAGACTTTTTCAGGACTTCCTGAAGGTTTTCTGTGACTTCTCCCCCTTTTTTCTTCATTGCCAAGTCAATCAGCACCGGCTCTTTCGTATGTGACCCCATACACCCTTTTTTCACTACCAGAAATGGTAGGTCGTGAAGGTTCCTGGATAGATCCCTAAAGGGTGTTCAACGGGTGGTTTCTTTGAAGGACTAGCATTTGCGTGAAGGCCACTTGAAATTCCTATTGAGAAGGTAGGCCAGCTCGATTTCACTGGCATTATCGGCTACACCATCGAACAAGTGCATTCTGACGGCTGTTGAGGTACTGGCTGATGAGTCAGACGGCATGATTGCTTCGCAAACAGCGCCATCACTCACAAAGCCGACCGTGCGCACATCGGCAAAAAAACTGTCCTACGCGCCAGTAAACACCCATTGAAATCGCCTTGGTTACTTGTTTGACCTTTACTTGACGTTTGAATGACGTTAAAAGAAGTCTAGCAAAGAACGGTACGTACCTGAACCATGCATCCATCAAAGTAGAACTGGGTGGTGTCTTCCTCAGTGCAGAATGAGGGCTTCTGTGGAGCTTTAGGTAGGTCTTCTTCCTTGGGAGTTACAGCCTTCTCCTTCTTACCAGCCATGCGCGATTTCAAGGCTTTCCTGGCGTTCCTTGAGGGCTTGTTTCACAGCCTGAAACTGCGATTTTGCTTCAAAATCAACAAAATGTCCAAAGCTGAACGCTTACGCTTTGTTAGTCGGCCAAAAAAAACGCCGCTGCTTCTCATAGTTTACGAGTTCTTGCTGCTCCGATGGGTTGAGTTCACGAAGGCGGAAACCGTTGGCATAGAGGACATTTCCCTGAAAAGTTACCTCATCGAGTTCTGCTCAGAATACAGTACGGAAGTCCCTGATTCAAGAAGAGATCTACGACAACAAATAGACGAACTTACAGTCACTACACACCCCGTGGATCCACCGACTCCTCCGGTGACAGCGATCGTGCCCACAGTAAGGCGTTTCTGTCTTGGGGCAGCAAGAGCGATTCCACACAGAACGCAGAGCAGGACCAACTTCATCTGAAAAAAGCCGAAAGTTCATTAAGGGGTGGGAAAAAGTGCTCGAGATTGCTGGGCTACAGCTCATAGATGAGAGTTAATAATAGCAATTGGTACGCGATAAAAACACGATTATCTCAAGCCGGTTGCTGGTTAACAATCCCGCGAAATGCAGTTCTTTGGGGATTATTTGTTATATTCACAGTTCCAACAAGAAAACAGGATCCGATGCAATTACAGGCGTGATTGAGAGCACTTTTACACTGCGTCCTACATTATGAGAGGAATGTGGCATGAAGAATAGTGAAAGGAGGGGGATGGAAGGTCTTGAGACAGTCCAACAAGAACGAGTCTATACTGTCAATGAGGGAGGTTCGGAGAGTTTTATTCGCTATCGCAGCACGGAGGGGAGGGGAACTTGCAGCAAAATAGCCCATAACAATCCCGATCCGGCAGGAAAAGCCCCTGGGTTCCGTGACGGTGAAATAAGTGAAAGCGACAAAACATATCCACCCTGGGCCCTACTACGTGAAGAACTCAAGTGATCTGTAAGGGCGTTCAAGCTGTTGCACCTAATGCCCACCTTCTTGTGATAGCATCAGATATTCAAGAAGAGAAGAATGGAGGAAATGAACAAAATAAAGATTTGGGTTCATGAATACAACCACCTCTTACACAGCTTTTCTCCGTGGAACACATGAACATAAATCTACAGCGGGATCTCATCAATAACCTCAAGCACCAGTTGCTCGTCTTTTGCCAGACGAGTACGTCTGCTGCCATTAAAACCCAAGAAATCACAAATCTACTGCTCGATTACGAAGTGAAGAGTTATGTAATTTTCGAAACCTGAGAAAAGATAGGGTGGATTTTCCAAGTAATTAACGCAATTCGATAGCTGCCAAAAGCGAAAGGTTCAGACTTCAACAATGAAGGCAAATGAGGTCCATAAAACGGGGAAAGTAAGACATAAAAAATCATATTTATAAAAAAGGCCGACGCCTTGGCAGATCGTACAAAGAAAAATTGATCAAATTAACAGCGTCAGGCCTAAAAGAATTGGGGGGGGGGGTGGATGGGAGAAAGAAACTGCAATTGATCAGCCTTCAGGTGCCAAATACTCTGAGAGATCAACTCTGTGCAGACAAAGGTCTCATAGTTGAGTTACAATTATGCGCAGACAACAATGTTCAAGGATACAAAAATTGGCGCTTCTTCAGTCAGGGGGAGGCAGAGGTGGTGCACTCAGCGGCTTGTGGGAGGCTTAGGCAAAATCCTCATCCCCTGGCTTACATGTGTTTTTTCACATTATCCCCTCGCCGTCTGGCTGGGAAATGGATAATGTTACTCGTGGTTTTAAACTACCTGGGTGGTCTGCCCCAAAATCTTTGTTCCGTTTACTGGAGAGCGTCGGATAAGGTTTTTGTTAGCAGGCTATACATCAAAGTTCAAAGGATTTCAAAGTAAAAACCCAGACTGCATCAGGGTTTGCAAACACCTGCAGGTGTACTCGATGGGAGCCGAGTCAACAACTGGAAGAGTCGACCTGGTTCGACTGAGGGAAAGGGGTGGAGTGAGAAGATGAAGGTGGAGGGAAGTCTGGAATTGAGGGCTGGAATGGGGGCGGCGGCAGCGGTGGCGCTTTGCGGTGCCGCTGCGGTGGACGGGCAAATTCACAGGAATTGGAGTGTGGCGAATCGGTCGCGCAAGCCAACCGATGCATGGGGTTGGATTATGGTCGTTACGGCGGTGAATTCAAATGGATGATCGGAACGCTTCCGCCAACAATATGCATAAATTGCCATCCAATTTCAGTTCCCTATTGCCTCATTCCCTCTATTAATGCAGTTATATGAACGAGATATGAGGAGAAATATGCGTCCACGAAAAAACAAGCCGAAAATATGAACGAACCAAATATGATAGAACCAGTTCGCGAACAGAGAAGAATGGAGAATTGAGTGGGTCAAGATTACAGTATCCTCGAGAGTATGCTCAAGTACACTCAAAGTAAGGTGTAGCTCGGAAGTCTTAAAAACACCTTAGCCAAGAGAAGAAGCGTCTCATGGTCGTGAAGGGGTGAAAAGCCTGATAGGCCATTTCTTAGGCAATTCACACCAAACTTCCTGCCAGGACAGGTCTTCCTGTCCCAGTTTGAACTACATAAATCGAATCCGTAAGCAAAAGATTGGTGTATCAGTGCGATGATACGCGGACGTGGTGTGTGTGTGATGGTTGGCGATGACTGATCGCCTGAATCTCAGGCCTTTCACGCTGATACGTGGGGGAACAATGGGCGGTGAACGGGATGCGAACGTCGCTTTTAAGGGCGCACGGCCAATGCAACAGCTGCGCGGGGAGAAACAAACTGACTCATCAGGAAAAACATCGATAACATTCTCGTTTCACACTTTCGGATGAGTCACCATTGAAAAAGTTCATTCCGTCTATTCATGAAGAACCTGTCAGAGCTCAATAGCCGGGCGGATTAATTGCTTCACAATGAACATCTCACTGATCGTTTCTGAATCAGGTGTCCGTTGTTCCATTCAATTCAACAGCAAACAGAAAGTTATGTGTTTCTGCAAATAAACCATATCTCTGCACAGCTACTGCCCGAGGCTGTACCATCCTGAACTCTTTTCCGAGCAACAGCAGAGCTTGGTGTGAGCTTGAACAGTTGGGACCATCTTTGGTGGATAAGGTGGGGAAGGGAGAGACGATGTTAAGGACGTTAGCTCCGTAGCTCAGCCATGGCCTAGTGAAGTTAAGAATAGGTCCTATAGCTTAGGTCAGTTACTGTATCTACCTTAGCAAAAACTTGCCGCCTCGCTCTGATTGATCATTCCGATTGGGCGCTGTCCTACTAGGTAACTGGACCGGTGAGGGTGAGGGTAATTCGATGGGTCGGCACACCACACCCTACTGGGTCATGCACGCGTGTGACATTCCCGCGAGGGACTTCAGATGACTTTCAGGGATAATACTTCTGCTCCGGATTTTTGTCGTCACCCACCCATCCCCCCACTTAAACTACCCCTTAAGCTTCAATATGGGGTTTACAAAAGCCAAAGCATTCGGGGTTGATCAGTCTCCTGTGGTGGAATGCGCCTGCTTCCTTTCGAAATCGTACTGGCATTTCCAATGCGGTCTGGCCTTTGCAGTGAGAGACGAAAGCCGGCCGACGAAAAATTCAGGACTTTATCCTTTAAGGACAATTCGGGTACCAAGTAAAGGAGCCCGGGGTTGGAAGGTCTGCTTGACCTGGACGTCGTACGATCAACAATGTTGTCCCCTAACTGCGGATTTGCTCACCAGCATCTGTTGCCACCACACCTTTTCTCCCAGTTGGAAGGTCATACATTTTACAAGTGCCAAATATAGTATTTAAGCCGAAGTGCTAAGGTGAGAAAGGTGCACGATTACCCAGAATCAGAACATTAATTTGAAACAGTAGTAATAGACGTAACTCTCTAGGAAGGTCTCGGCCGCTTTTATATAGAAATGCTCTGTGTCTCCTTTCAATTCCCATGGCACAGGGAAGCTGATTTCTAGATCCGTAAAATGATAAGCCTATGAGGATCCGAGAGACTCATCGAAAACATCTGTTTGACATAGAGAAATCTTTTCTTCGACGTCCAAGTACATACGTAGGGGCATGATTCTTTGTTCTACACACAATAGCTATGGCATGTGGCCGTATGCTTGACTTATTGTTGGATTCTAGCTCATATTCTCGGACTGGTGACCAGCAGGGGACAGACAAGGGCGTGGGAAGTGGTTCCTTTGAACCTATTAGTTTTTTGTGGGGTAGTTCCCCTACCTCCAACACATTTGCTCTTGTGCATACAACCACTCATTCAAAATACCTCCTACAGTCCGGAAAGGCAGACCAGAATTGGGAACGAGGAATTTGGAGGAATCTTTGTTTCGATTCTCAGTAGGGATACGTCTCATATCGACCCAAAAATCACAGTTTGGTTCCATGCCTATGGATTATGAGCTACCACTAGAGACCTTGCTTTATTCTCACCTATCTATGT